TTCCCCTCTACAACTGCCCCCTGTCTCCGCAGAGTTGAGGATGAATCAAATTTCCTGCTCTTGTTCACCTTTTGCTCCTTCACCCCATCTTTCTCCCCCCTCCCCCCCACCCCAAGTTTAACAAGACCAGGAAATTTGACTCGTCCTCAACTCTGCGGAGACAGGGGGCAGTTGTAGACGGGAGCGGCCGGACATAGGGTCCCGCTCCACGACTTACCACGTGCAGAAAAGACGAAATATGGCGGCGTATCTTTCTATGTTCTGGCGGAAGATTCATCCTCATTTTGCACATTTGGAGAGCAGTAGAGCGAGGCCCATACACAACATCCTTCCTGAAAAAAGGACAGGCGAATGAAAGTATAGCAAGGGAGACTGTTAATCCCCCTCCTATGCAAAGGAGACTGTTAATACCCCCCTTATGCAAGGGAGAGGGTAATCAAGGCAATCTCCAGGGTTCTGCTTCTCGACTTGTACAGGGGCTGGGGCCGTCTTCAGACTCCCCCCACCCCTTCCACCCCTTGGCCCCCCTCTTGCTGTACGGTGAGAATGACTGCGAGATAGGTAAGAGAAGACGAATGCGCAGACACAAAAGGAGAGAGAGAAAGAGAAGAAAAGTATCCCTCATCAGAGAGAGAGAGAGAGAAGAAAAGAATCACTTATCAGAGCGAGAGAGAGAAAGAAGAAAAGTATCACTCATCAGAGGGAGAGAGAGAGAGAGAGAAGAAAAGTATCACTCATCAGAGGGAGAGAGAGAGAAGAAAAGTATCACTCAACAGAGGGGGAGAGAGGGAGAGAGAGAGAGAGAGGAAAAGTATCACTCGAAAGAAAAAAACAACCGATACCGATACCGATACCGATTATCGCGCGCAGGAAGAGCGATAGAGAAATTACGAATCGATCGAGACTTATGGCAAATCGTCGAAATTTTTATCGCGCGCAGGTAGAAAAGAGCTGGAGTGATAGGTGGTGTGTTTTCTCTGCCCAGAGGGAGATCGCGACAGAACAAGGCAGAAGGACACTACCAAATCGGTACGTGGAGCTGCGAGACACGGCCACTATCCACATGGACATAGCCACCGTCGCCCTACGCCAACCCTCTCTCTCTCTCTCTCTCTCTCTCTCTCTCTCTCTCTCTCTCTCTCTCTCTCTCTCTCTCTCTCTCTCTCTCTCTCTCTCTCGCTCTCGTCACACCGTGTATCGGAGCGCAAAGACGAAAAAACACAAAACAAAAAAGGAATGAAAGCTCCGCCTGTTCATCACCTCTTACGTACAAGGCCGGGGCCACGTCTATCGTCACAAAGATATCAGAGCGCAAAAGCGAAAAAAAAAAGAAAAAAAATCAATTCATTTTTTATCTTCTTACTTACAACTCCCCCTGTTCAAACCTCTTGCATACAAGGCCGCCCACGTGGATGTAGGTTGAGCGGCGGCTGCCCCCACCCCCGTGTGTCATATCGACCCACTTGCACACAGCCAAAAGGCAAAGAGGCAAAGAAAGAGGAAGGGAACAGTCAAATATAACAAAACAGGGGGAACAAACTAAACAGATCCTAGATGACACGTCCCACATGCAAGCACCGCCCCCTTCGTCACAGGCCAAATGACCTCTCTCTCTCTCTCTCTCTCTCTCTCTCTCTCTCTCTCTCTCTCTCTCTCTCTCTCTCTCACACACACACACACACATACACACACACACACACAGACAGGGGTGTGTGTGAGAGAGACAGGTGCGTGTGTGTGTGAGGCAGAGAGAGGGGTGTGCGTGTGTGAGATCTGAGGGGTGTGTGTGTGTGAGATCTGAGGGATATGTATGTGTGAGATCTGAGGGATGTGTGCGTGTGAGATCTGAGGGGTGTGTGTGTGTGAGATCTGAGGGGTGTGTGTGTGCGTGTGCGAGAGAGAGACTTGTGTATGCAAGAGAGATGTGCGTGTGAGAGAGAGATATATGTGTGTGTGAGACACACACACACACACACACACACACACACACACAAACACACACACACACACTCGTGTTTGTACTAACGGTGCTTTCCCTCTACCTGCGTAGTTCAATGTCGAGATATCTGGTACACTCCTTTGAACAAAGAGACCTCCGCGATCAACATTTCCCCCCTGGTGCTTTCGCCACTTCACTCATACAAGTATATTGACAATTTTCCTCGTCTGTTTATCTCTGTGAAATAAAAATCGTTGCTGTTTGCTTGAACAACTACTACACGCTTATTTGTACACTTGTTTTTTTTAAGTTCTCCGACCCAGCAGTTAACCTCGCATAAGCACCCACTCTTAATAAAGTAAGTGTCATTACATGCCTTCTGACTAATCAGATGAACGCCTTGATCCTTTTCTGACTAACTAATTAGTTAAATGCCATCTGAACGCCTCCCCTGAACGTGTATGTCTTCCAAAACAACCTACCTCTACTCTTCAAGACCCGAGGCATGACTCTTCGCTTTCAGCCGACGACACACGACACACCTTTCAGACACACGAGACAGCAGTCGGGATCTCGGGGAAATTTTCCGGATTAGGAAAGATTGAATGGAAAGGGAGGAGTGATAGCGGTTGATGGCCAAAGATGGGCAACGAGATCAAGATCGGGATCCGGATCAAGATCGAGATCCGGATAGCAACAGACAACATCAAGAACATTCATTATCAGAGAGACAAGAAGAGGTAGTAGACAGACTAGAGGAGGAGACAATGTGAGACAGAAAAAAGAAATCACAAAAAAAAGAGAAAATAGAGAGAGGGTAAGGTGAGAAACAAGAAGAGGTAGTAGACAGAATAGAGAAGGAGGAGACAATGTGAGACAGAAAAAAGAAATCACAAAAACACAGAGAAAATAGAGAGGGTAAGGCGAAAAACAAGAGAAAAGAACATAAAAAAGAAGGGAGAAAATAGACAAGGCAAACCAAAACGACAGTTAAAGGGTAGTGCAAAACAACGAGAGAGAACAGCACCCGAAGAGAACAGCACCCGAAGCAAAGACAACGAAGAGGCGGGGAAATCCCGAAAGAAATGAAACAAAAAATGTAGGAGGAAAAAAAAAAAAACAAAAAAACTATCACTTGAATAGGACAGGCAAAAAAAAAGGAAAAAAAAAAAGATTACTTCTCGCCTATTTTAGTGACGTTCTTTTTTTTTTCTTTTTTTCGCACGCACAGCCCCTTCTGTTCTGGGGCACCAATCCAATCCAATTGCTTATTACCGGCAAGTGTGAACACATTGAACAATCAAGAAAAAACAATAGTCTGTTTTTCGTTCTTCTTTTAAAAAAAAAAAAAAAGTGCGATACTAGGAATTTTTTAAATATGAGTTCCCCCCCC